GATAGGCCCCCGGGGGCGGCAGCCGCGGGACCATGGCCCGGAGACCCGGGGCGCTGGCCGCCTATGGAGAGGAGTTCTCCTTCGTCAGCCCGTTGGTGAAATACCTGCTCTTCTTTTTCAACATGCTTTTTTGGGTGAGTTCTGGGGGTCGTGGGGGCACCGGGGCTGCAGAGCACCCCCTCCCCGCGGAGGAGGATGGAGTGGGCTACCGGCGGCTGAGGAGGGGCGTCCCAGGATGGCGGGTTCGGGGCGAACGCGGTGAGCAGCACTACCTAGTTTTTCTGGGCTGAGGGCACTTTGGGGTAATTTATCCCGGAGAAGGAAATCACAGCGGCCGGGTCTGTGTGGTGGTGGTGGTGGGGGGGGGGCGGCTAAGCGAGCGGTTCTTTAAAGACTTATGGGTATTCTCTGGGCTTCGGATGGGGGTCTGTGCAGACTCAAAAGGTGGATTTGAACGGGAGGAGCGGGTTTGCCTGTTGGCTCAAGATCCCTTGGTATATTCATGATTAGGGGACTTTTAGGCCTGGCAGCTGGAGGCCCTGCGGCACAGAAAAAAAAAAAAAGGAAGGGGGGGAAACCCAGCCCTTGCCTCCCCTTCCCCGGAGGGGTGGGGTTAAAGGGCTTCACTTCTCTTGCAGATGTCAGGTGCTTCCCTCTTTCCCAAGCCTGAGAAGGGACTCCAGAGGTCTCCAGGTGCAGATGTCTTTCCCAGCACTGTCCTAAACTTTATCCCACCTCTCTGAGGCCCACACTCCACCCCCCTAACCCCCACTCCTCGCACTCTTGGACAGTTCCCAACTTCTTCAAAAAGGATCCTGTGGTGGACTGGAAGGACCCTTTCATAATCTCCTGCTTGGGGGTGCAAATAGTGAAAGAAATATTGGACTGGGTTCTCATCGCCTTGGGACTATTAATTGTTGACTTGACTAACCTGGGCAGCTTGTTCGCCACCATAGGCTTCAGTTTCCTTCATGACATCAAGTCCAGTATGATCAGAAATACTCTACTGGAACTGAGAATCTAGCTGGGTCAGAGGGTGAAATGCTAGCTCAATCCAGTTTCATGGTTGTGGGAATCCATGGGCCCCTTCAAATTTGAGAGAACAGGGAGGTCCCATTCCCCCCTGTCCCTCTCCCCGCCCTCCCTCGTTTTTCTTTTAGCACCGACCCCACCAGAGTTGCTAGTCTAAGAGCCATTCTCCTCGCCCACTCTGCCTGAGACCTAAAGTTCAGATTTGCAGGAAGGAGAAAGCATGAGTCTAAAATATGTTTCCTAGGAGAGGGAGCAGACCAGGCATCTAAGCCAGTTGCTGGAAAGGTTTCACAGAGGCCGTGGTGTGAAGAACAGACACAAAGTACATAAGTGCTACCCTGTTGGGACAAATGAGAGAAATCCCAGAGGGTGGTGATGACAGCTCACTCTCAGCCGTTGTGCTGGGGAAAATCAAATTTGAACTCCTATGAAATTCTCAGTTTTAGAACTGGGGGAAAATTTTAGGAGCCATCTCGACCAGCACTGGCATTTTATTTTACATTATGAGCAAGCTAAAGCGCGGAGAAGGTAGTTGTTTTATTCAGGGCCCAACAGCTTGATCTGGTAGTTTTCTGCAGACCACAGTGCCTCTAGGGAAGCCCTTGGCCCACATGGTTGCTTCTGTAGCCAGGATCCTGCTGGTATTAATAGTGAACCCAAGTTCCCACGCACGGTCTAGGTTCTGGTTCAGCTGGAGACTAGGGAAGAACAGAAGAAAATGCCACCACCACACTGCCAGGATGGGAGATATCCTGAGGGGTTCTCCACCTGAGGGCAAGTCCCAGTGAACCCCATAGATGCCCACTGAGTGTGTCAGGCCAGAGACTTGCCATCTGCAGAGCCAGCCATGTCATCCCAGCTCCTCCTGACCTCCTGTCATCCAAGGCTCTGCCTCTCCTTTGGAGCTCTTGAGCCCTCACCCTTACCTGTTGTACAGCCACGACAGCTGTTACCCTTGTGTTCATAGTCATTTTCTTGAACTTAAACCCATCCCAGCCTCCCTTACCTTACCCTCCTTTCATTAGACAAATGACTTTGGGAGGTCACAGCCAGGGAGAGGGTTTGGCTCCATAGACCCATTTATTTTGGTAAAAATGCCTCCTTCAAGGTCAGAGAACCAAGCTAACCAACCTGGCACCACCTCAAATTAGAGAAGAGCCCCTTCTTGGCCCTACTTTAGACTCATAAAAAGCCAGAGACTCTAGAAATAGCACACTGAAGGACAAGAGGCCCAGTTTCTTTCTGGCACAAATTTACTGTGTGACCCTAAGCCAATATATCTGTCTCTCTGTCCTTAATCTTTCTCCTCTAAAAGAGAAAATTTTTATGCCTCTGAACTATTTAAGGATAACTACATCATTTTGTGGACTATTTCTTTCTTTAAGATCTGGAGCTGGAGGTAAAGATGCATCTCTCTGTGTCCTGGTCTCCCTGGGACGTTGACCTTCCCAGGAGACAGGACTTTTGGGGCATTATTGAGTGTCACTTCTCCCTCAGGCCCAGGGCCTCAGCGATACAGCCCACACAGAGCAGCTGGAGCTCAAGGGCTACTTCTCCAGAGCAAGGGTCATCTTTCTTCCCCTCCCCCCTTCAGGATCTGGCTCATGTGCGTTCCTGTTTGCAGGCTTCTGCCATGCTAATCAAATTCTTCTCGTCTGCCCAGAGGCACTCATGGAAGGGACTGTCGGTCCACTCCTGTTCCAGGAAGAGTGTGTTCTGGCCAGCTGCTGGGGTCTGTGGGTGAGGGGTGTTTGCGTCTGTGCCTGGGATGTATGGGGAAGGTAGCCAGCAGTATCTGGGCTCCCGTGCGACGGTGGCAGCACTCTGCTGCTGCTCTAGGAGCCCCGACCCTGGGGCTCGGAAAGCTGCTGGTACCTTTGGGAACCAATTTTTCTTGTTCATGTTTTAAATCTCACTTCCCATTTTGCTGAGTCTGATCTCCCCAGAGCCATGCTGCATGGGATTATTGGAATCCCATGGTCTAGAGTAGCTGCTCTGAGATCCCAAAAGTTGTATTTAAATCTCTCAGTTAAAAAGTAGCTGGCGGGCCCTCCCTGGTGGCGCAGCGGGTTAAAGCACGGCACAAAGAACCTTAAGCCACTTCTGCATGAGTTTGATTCCCGCCTGCCCTGGAGGAGACCACATGGCGTGGCAGACCTCTCCTGACCCGCCCGCTGCTCCCTTCAGCAGTGTACTTCGTAGATCTGCCTGTTCTGCTCCCCACTCTGCCTCTGGTGAATCCTCTCACCCTCCACATCTCTGGCCTGTACCCCAGTTCTGTACGAATAAATAAATAAATCTTTAAAAAAAAAAGTAGCTGGCATTGCCCACTGCCCTGCAGTGGACAGCTCTAGGCAGAGGAGACAATGGGGGTTGGCATGTGTATTATCAGCCTTGGGCACACACTGGCAGGAATGTTATCAGTGCTACCCACAGCGGCCACCTCCTTGCTGGTCCTTTTTCCACTCAAGCAGCAGTCGGGGTGGCTTTTGAGTCCGATAGAGCCCAGAAACTCAGTTCATAACCTCTGTATCTCGGCCCAGATATCCTTGGAGACCACACCTCAGGGCGTCCACGGCCCTCTTGTACATACGTCGATTGCCACACACCCCTTACCTGTACTGCTGTGTTAACCTGTATCTCCCCCTGTATTAACCTGTGTCTCCCCCTGTGCATGCCAGGCTCCAGAGGGTAGAGCCACCTTACCCACTCAGTTCAGTGTCCTGCTGTGTTTGGCAGAGAGGAGGTATTTACTGAATGTTTATGAGATAAATGAAGCAGACCCTTCAGGGTATAGACATGGTGCCCTCCTGTCCTTTCTCATGGACTTGAGCCTGTCAAGATGCAACACAATCATAAGTCCTAGAACATTTCTGGCAGGGACAATCCTACTTTCCCCCTCTGCAATGGGTCCTGTGGCCTGGCAGCCCTCACTCAAGCCAGGCCAGGGTGAAGGCAACCATCCCCTCCAGCTTCTTCCTGGGGTCTTGCCTATTTACTGTCTACAGCACTTGGGTTCAGTGACTTCCACGGATGCCACCCAGGTTTGCCCTGAGTTGTCCCGATCTTTGGCGAGGCGTCTTCAAGAACGCTCATCTACACAGGGCACTGTACTGGAGTCCCTGAGCTCAGAATTGCCCCAGATTACCTGATAAAAACCCCTCTGGAGTGGCACACAGTCTCACACCCCTAAATACACTGGGAGACAGACCCATTTCCTTCCCCTCCCCCACCCTGCCTTGTAGACCAGGCAGGCTACAATACTTGAGTAGTCACATTCTTTTTATAAAAACAAACAAACAAGCAAAACACCAAAATGAAGACAAGAACCACACTCTTTGCTGTCAAGTCTGGCACATGCCTTCTTAGCGCCTCCTGCTAGCCTTGTATCAAGTAGAAAATTATGAACTCCAAGCAACCTTTAAAAAGAATAAAAGTAAACATGTGACACTTCTGAGTCTTGCTAGCAGGCTGCATGTCAGGCTGGTGCCCGGGCTGCCAGTTTGAATGTTTACACTGCTGTGAGCCTTTGTAACTTTCCTTCCTCATTTAGAACCTTGGGAAGCCAAAACCAGCCATAGCTAAGGAAGAAGCTCAAAGGTTGGCCCCAGACACTGGGGAGGAAACAGCCCTGTGGATTCCTCCACTGCACAGGGCACTACCCTCCGGCGTAGACACAGCCAAGAGCTGCTTTACAGACGGTTGGCACAGCATAGACCCAGAGCAATGGTGCCAGGAGAACCACGGAGGGACCGACGTGCACAGATTCTGGGCAGTGCCAGGGAGCCCTGCTTTGTGTCTCGCAGGCTGTGGTTTCTTGACTTCATCCAGAAATAAGGATAGAAGGGCTAAGAAACCAAAAATGGGGACTCCTTTGTCCCCACTTCCTTCTTGGCGCAGGGCTCCACAGAGACTCACTGTGCTCTCAGCAGTCCCCACCACCATCAGAGGAGTGGGCTTTGAGACAGACCTGCTCCTCACAGACTGGACTGTAGAATGTGGAAGACAGATAGGCTGGGCTTTCTTTTTTTGTCAATGAATTTTTTTTTATTTTATTTTTTTATTACAAAGTTTATTTTTACATCATTTTGCACATTTTTTT